GTAAAGCCACTCATTCACCTAATCATTCTCATCTCGGCAACACTTAACTTATTATTATGCTTCTCTTTTAAGGCCAACATTCAGCGCCATAGAGCATTGCAGGTCTCACCACCATCTTATAAAATTTTCCTTTCAGTCTTAGCGGTACTTTTCTATCACACAAAAGGCCCGAAGCATTCCTCCACTTCAACCAACCAACTCGAATTCTACTATTAAGATCCCCATCTATATCAACCATCGCTTTGGACAACGGACCCAAGATATCTAAATCGTTCACACCTTTTAATAATTTGATCACCCAAAGTCACACTTCTGTCACTAGAGCTATTACTACTAAAATTACATTCCATGTATTCAGTTTTAGTTCTACTTAAACGAAGGTCTTTAGACTCCAATGTAGACCTCCATAATTCAAGTTTTTTCCTGGGCTTTTTCTCTCGTTTTATACACGAGAAGAATATCATCAGCAAAAAGCATACACCAAGGTACATTCTCTTGTAGATGTCTTGTAAGACCATCCATAACTAAAGCAAAAAGATATGGGCTTAAAGCCGATCCCTGATGTAGTCCAACAGAAATAGGAAAATATTTTGTCAACCCTCCTTCAGTTTGAACACAAGTAACAGCTCTAGTATACATATCTTTCATGACTTGAATATAAGTCATATCAATAAATTTCTTCTTGAGAACTCTCCAAAGGATATCTCTTAGAACCTTATCGTAAGCTTTTTCTAAATCAATTAAAATCAAATGTAGATTCTCCTTATTATCTCTGAACTTCTCCATCAGCTTTTGTTTCCTTTGTTTTGAAAAACCAAAAATATTGTGTGTAATGTGCTTCCTATTTTACTTTTAATTTACTACTCCTGTTTTACTACATTTATGTTACTGTGAAAACTGTGTGATTTGCTTACTTCTTAGTTTCAACACAGTTTTCCTATTTGGTTTTCTTTTTCTCAATAGTTTGCATATTTGACTTGTGTATATCTGTAGTTTAGGGTCACTTAACTAGTTGTCCTAATGGTGTATGTTTAAAACTAGAATTTTGGAACTAGTACCCTATGACATTGGACTAGAAAGAATTGTAAAAAAATCAAAAAATTAAAAAGACTAAAAAAAAGTTAGATGAAATGTCAAACATAACTTAGGAAGAATGCAACGCACCAAGCTCTCATGTCATACCTAGACCTCTTAGGGAATTTCTTAGCCCCTTGGTTTAAGAAATTCACCTAAGCATCAACAATCCAGTTGTGGAAGTTAATTTTTTCCAAACTCAAACTTGTCATTATTCAAACGGTACAAAATAATCAATTTGGGGGATTACCTACGAAAGGTCCTAACTTGTGTTGCCTTTCGATATAATGGTATCTTTAATGACACAGTTCAACTTAGACTTTTCTCTTTCTCACCTAAGGATAAGACTAAGATATGACTCAATTTGTTATCACCAGGATCTATCACCACATAGAATTTATGAAGCCTGAGAAAGATTCAAGGAATTACTTAGGAAATGTCTCCACCTTACCTCATAAGACTGACTCATAATTCAAACATTTTATAATGAGTTGAGGGGATCTTTGAGGTTCATAATTGATGTTGTAGTTGGGGGATCGATCAGGTCTAAGCCAATTGAGGAGGCATATACACTGATTGAGGATATGAAAAATATTTTTCAATGGTCATCAGATAGAGCTAAATATAGAAAGATAACTAGCATACATGATGCAATCGTATTAGCAATTTTAACATCTCAAGTTGATGCTATCTCTAGGAAGTTAAACAATCTATGGTTGAATTCTGCACTAGGATGATCAGTAATAGAAGAGAATGTTTATGGATATTATGCCTGTAGAATCCTTGAACGCCATAAACAATAGTTTCAGTAACTCATATTCCAACACCTACAACCTAGGTTGAAAGAATCACTTGAATTTTAACTAGAATAACAATAGTCCAGGTGCAAAAACCCAGCGATGGGGTGATAACCAAGCTAACCCATTAGAAAATTAGAATAATTAAGGTAGTGGCAACCTTAGACCAACTTACCAATATGGATTCAGTTCAAATGAAGAGTTTAAAGAAAAAAAATTATCTTTGGTAAAGAGTGTGATGCAAATAAAGAATAAACTACAGAGTCAACAATAAAAATCATTGAAAATCAGTTAAGACAGATAACAAACTCATTGAGTGAGACACCCCGGGGAACGCTACCTAATAATAGTGCAGTGAAACACAAAGACAAAAAAAATGAGTATGTAAAAATCATTAAATTAAGGAGTGGGAAAAAGAGTTGGAAGAAGTGATTAGAGCTTAGTGTGGTGGAAATCAACAATGAGCTCGAAAGACTTAGGCTCAATTTTGGGGGTGAGGGGGTGGGGCTGCAGCTGCGTTGCGCCAGAAAGCTGTTGCGGGGAAGATGACTGTCTGTTTCGTACAGCTATGTGAAAATAACTGTAGAGCAGCTGTTTCTTAAAAAATGACTATTCTGTCCTTGTTTGGTAAAGCTGTTTAAAAAAAAGACTGTAACAGCGAAATTTTAGATCCTTGTTTGGTAAAACTGTTTAAAAAAAAGACTGTAACAATGAAATTTTGTAACTCCATAAGTAAGAAACTCCATAAGCAAAATTTATTATATGATAAATTATTGAAACTTCAAAGTGTTAAATATGTAACAAATGTAATTGTTAGGGAATTATTATTATTATGTAATAAATTTAAGTCTTAAAAATTTGTATATATGGGATTGATTAATTTATGTTAAAAGTTTAGTTGTTAGATGAATATGAATGCTAAAATAGGGCCACTGGGGGACCATTTTTGCTGATTCTAGATCATTTTACCCAGCAACAGATCTAACCTTTGCGATAAGACCAAATTCCAGATCTAACAGGAGCATAACCCTTACGAGAATAGGAGCATATGTGAGAAAAAAATTTCTTACCCTTGCTGTGAGGAGATCACGAGAACAGAAAGAGAAGGAGAAGGAAGAGAAGAGAAGACGAACAGGAACCGTCACTGGTCGGAGAAGAGCGGAAGGGAAGAAGCTCGCGGCTTTTCTTTAGCAAACCGTCACTGGTCGGAGAAGAGGAGCGGAAGGGAAGAAGCTCGCGGCTTTTCTTTAGCGGGATAGGGCAAAGAGGTAAGGGAGTAAAAATTGCGTCCTCGAAGCTAGGCTGCGCCTATTTCCCGCTGCTCAACTTTTGCTCGGAACCGCGGAAAGCGGTGGCAGGA